AAACAGTTGTCGGTGAAATGATCCTGTCTATGAAATGTTTGTCGGTAAAATGGTTGTCGGTGAAATGAATGCGACCCAAAGCATGGTACCAGCTTTTTGATTACAATATTATTTAGATAAATGTATTACAAAAGTTGCGGATGTACTTCAGTTTAGTATTGTTCAACTTGATTCTTCAAAAACGATCAAAAAAAGTAATTTGTTTTAAAGTATATTCAAGCAGAAGATAACAACAGTTGGGTACGACACAGAATAGAAAGCGAATTTTCGTAGAATTATTGTTCGACATATAGTGAAATCTTTTCAGAAAAAATATGATGTTTCGCACATTGTGGCGCAGCGTTTGATTATCTTCAAAAAAACTCTTGCGCCTTCGAATTATATCGTTTCTGCGGGGTTAACTTTTTAGTTGCTTTTTTTTTTTTTTAGGTCTTACAATTAAATCTTGTCGATCATTCTCATTTTACTTATACTATGTTAAATTGAATTATATTAAGAATAATTCTAGTTTTTCTAAATGATAATTAACTCATCTTTAAATTGGTTTCATTTAAAATTCATACTTAGTTTCAAATATTTGAATAAATTCGTACTATAGCTTTAATTTTTTTTTTATTAACAAAATGACGACCAAATTTGGTACCATAAAGCGCAGATCATAATGAAAATCTCATAAAAGAATCTCATTCTAAGAATGGAAACAGTATTACAATACAAAGGTCTACTGACTTAGAAATTACAATTTTAAATTTTTAAAGGAATTCGACTTTTTTTTTTCTTATAAAAAGGCACTGATTTCAATTTACTCATGAATTTTAGAATTTGATAACAAACAAAACTAATATTCACCAAAAAAAACTCGATAAAGTCAACTTCTCAAAGAAATTATAATCATGGACCGAAAATTTATTTTTGCATTTCTCTTTTTGGTCACACTCACCATGGTCAATGCAATTCCACATAAACTTATTAAAAGAACCACCGACTTTATACAATGTCCCCCACCAGAAGGTTCAACGACCCAAGCTCCCTTACTCCAAGTGTCACTTTCAGCCGATCCTCCCGTCGCTGGACAAAAGGATACATTTACTGTTTCCGGAAAATTGTCAGAGGATGCTACCGAACAAACCAAACTTGCGATTTCATTTGTTGATTTAAATAAAAATCCCATAGGACACCCCACTGTTGTTTCTGCTTGTTCTGGAAGTGGATGTAGAATTAAAGCTGGTGACCAATATACCCAAACGGTGGATGTTCAAGTACCAAACAACTTACCTAGTAAGTACGTTTTGGCAGTTGGTGTTGGAAATACAGTATCTGATCCTTTAGGCTGTGCATTTGCTATTATATAGTTGGTGACTCTGTTAGAACTTTAAAGCCATTATTTTTAAATTTTACGATTTTTTTGATTTTTATTTTTTGATCTTTGATAATCTAGAAACAAAAAGAGAATCCAATTCGTTTATTTTTCATTAACTAAATTTATATATGTAATAATTTTTATTAAATAAATTTACATCAGTTCGTTCACTTTTTAATTCTTTATTCGTGTTAGCCGTTGATCTTAATAATAGTAAATAAAATATCTTATTGTTCATATACAGTATATCGCTCGCAATCAATGTTATATATTATTAATGTAAAAAAAAAAAATATTTTCATGCATTGATTGATAAAGCATAGACAAAATCCGCTGCATTCGCAAGTTAATCATCATTTCTTTAGCTTCAAAATTCGGATTCTATGGCAGTATTTTATGTATAACAATCATATTTTGATTGTTTAAATCTAACATTATTATATCTTTGATCTCCCTTTCTTTCTTTCTTTCTTTATCTACAAGACAAATTTAAACATTTTCGCGCCTATATTCAAAAAAAAATTTTACTCTAAATTTTTATAAAACCAGGATACTTCCACCGCCATAAAAGGTCAGTAATTGAATTTTTTTTAATACTGGAAATTGTTTATTTCGTTAAAGAGTTTCATGCACATCGTCGAAACCTGAGATCTTTATTCATAACCTTATTCGAAAGTAATTGACGAATATATAATTGGTGATTGCGTTCGTATTATGAAATTTAGGCTACGCGAGTTTCCGATGAATATGTATTATTATTAACTTAATTAAAGATTATTCTTTAAAAAAACTTTTCATAACTAACACGATAATACATTATTTACTGTTAGTGAAACATCTCCCATTTTGAAATTTTTACGTCGAACTTTAGCGACCACGTGAAATGTACCAAATCTATATTACTTATTTATTAAATTTTTTATTTTGTTATAAATTCATGTAATATTCAAACTATCATACAATAAAAATCAAGCTGAGTCAATTCATTTATCAAGAAAATTACATTATAAACCTTTACAAATTTATTGGACTATTGGAAATTGGACAAAGTGGACTATTCCAAATTCCTTTAATGTCCAAATACAATTGGACTTGGAATAGATGATTCCAATTAGTCCAATTCCAATTGTCCAAATATTTTCAATTAGACCTTTCCCAATTCCATCATTGTTTAAGAGTATTTCATTCACCAATCTCTTTGAGATTCTAAAATCACCTGCTGAATTAATATATAGGTCAATGGTAAAAAAACCCTTGGCAATAGAGTAGGAGGCAATGGAACATATCCAATGGCTGGGATCAGTGGGATCCCAAAATACATCGCTTATTGGGATGTTAATTTGAAATACTGGAAGGTTCAGAACAACACATTTAGTAGGGTTATCACCTTTTTGCACGGTTCCAAAATCCCACTATCATTTATACTTTTAACATCACAAAAAAATGGAAATAAATAGATATGAATCTCTTGACAGTTTTTAAACCTACCGTTTAAGTTGAAATTTCATGTCTCCATAGCTTTCTATACTACATGATAAAACATGTTCATCAGACAGTAAAGAAATTTCATACCTTCATTCTTCGATTAAGTTGTCCTTGTACATTTCGCGTTGCTCGCGATTTGTAATCTTTATTCCTAATACACATCTCACATATTCTTGTGAAATCGAACGTCTACACACATTATCAAAAAATTTAAAATAAATAAATTATAATAATATTAATTAATTGATAATAAATATAGCTTGTTTTATATAATTAAAAAAAAAAAAATAAAAAAAAAAGAAAGATCGCATGAAAAATTTAAAATAACGAAAAATAATAATAAAATGAAAAAAATAAAAGAAGAAAAATATAAAATTAAATTAAAAAAACCACATCTGAAAAAAAATTTTAAACAAAAAATTTTCCGATTGTAATTATTTTTAAAGTGCTGTACTTCATACATTACTCTTACATTCGGTTATCGTTATACAAGATAATTTGATTGAAATAAGTTTTTTTTTTTTATTATAAGTAATAACAATGTCTAATAGTAATTATAAAGGTAAGAGTGCAATAAAGAAATTAAAAAATATTTTCACCAAAAAAGAAATAGGAAGCTTCGTATGACTAAAATGAGTTAATTAGACGATTTGATGATATTCTAAAATCTTTTTTTTTTTCATGAATTTACATTAGAGCCAGTTTCGGATGCTAAAGGTAATACATGTATTATTAACCACATTCTAATTCGTTAATTATCTCATTTTTGTTTGCTAAAAAATTAAATTTTATCAAATTTTGAATATAGAATTACTTCCTACATTATTAAATTTAATTAAACTATTATTTAAAAAATATTTAATAATTAATAATATTTTAGGGAGTATTTTTTATATTTTAATTTTAATTTAATTTATTATATGGGCTTGCGTCAGTTAAAAAGGGGGAAATCCTGGAAAACTTCTAATAAAGGTTACTGCCAAAATTATAATAAATCATATGATCTCGAACCATATGATTTTATTAATTATGACAAATCAAAATTATAGTAAGTATAAAATAATTTAAGACATTCAAACCATAAAAAAACTGTAACATATTATTTTTAAATTGTAATAAAAAAATATTTTTTAAATGATTTATTTTAAAATATAGGACAAATTAAATTATAATTTTATAATTTTTTAAAAAAAAATGTTTAAGAAAAATTTTATTTAGAAAAAATTTTATTAAGACATGATATCATTTCAAGTATTTTAAAATACTGAAAAATTTCTAAAGCTATTGTTGTTAAAGTAAGAAGGCAACTTTGAAAATTAAAAGGAGATAAGTCAAAATAATATAAAACTTCTTTAGCTAAAATATGACCAACAAGTTTTCTTCCTGCTTCACATGTATTTGTCCAAAGATTATTATAAATATTCAAGTAAATATTAACAGAAAGATAAGATAAACTATCCAAAAAATTAACATTTTTGTTTACCCAAGCATGTCGTTCACTTCTCTTTTCATACATTGAAATGATTTGCACAATACAAAGTTTTTTATCAGAATAAATGATTAAGTATCTACCTGAACACAAAGGATGAAAATCAGATACATTCACATCAATAATGTTATGTACTAAATAAAAAAATGTAAATTTATTATTAAATTACACTTTACAATTATATAAATAATAAATATTACCATTAATTCCATTATTTTCTACAGATATTAGAATAGTTGCAAGTTTTTTACGTCTTTTTCATCGATCTTTTCTTCTATTTACACAATTTTTTTGAATATCAAAATTATTTGTCAATTCAGTAATTAACTGATTAGCATTATTAGTAGATGTAAAGTAGGCTTTTTGGCACAAAAAGCCCAAATGCGTCCAGAAGGTTTTCCTGGGTATCAAAAAATTAT